AATTTGGTTTTCTGTTCTCATATCGTCAGCTGACCTACACACTTTGGACCTGTGACAGGCGAAGAAACCTTTACAAGTCTACTAAAAAAAAAGACCTTTGGGCGTGTAGAGTGCGAAGCTTGACCGAAAGGAACTCCGATTCCTAAAGGTGCCTCATCTCACAAAACAACGGGATGCTTGCAAGATAATCTTAGCTAGAAGCTCAAAGAGCTTAACCAAGGCAAGCGTAAGAAGGTTAGGAAGGGGCGTGGGGGTGGAGGTGGTGGAGGTGGCGGAGGTGGTGGAGAGTCTGGAGGTGCCGACGCTGGAGGAAGTGCCAGGTTCTGTGAAGCACCGAGAGGATGTGAGGATCGATGATCAAGTTCAGATAGTATTGTATGAAAACCTGGGTACATGGTCGTGCTATATGTGTGCATGACACAAGGCCAGTAACCCGTGTGTTACTAGAAGGTACCGAGCATCAAGAACCGTTGGGAACGGAACCTTCCCGAATTCGGTAGAAACAATTCGGCGTAAAACACACGCACACAAAATTCACGCGAGGATAACCGAGATGAGGCAGATTTTGGTGCACGCAATGCTATTCGGTGCTATAGCTATAATAAATATAGTAAAGCAACGAGCTATGACATAAGCACAGACATGTAAATAGAAAATAGGAATAAAGGTAGTTCAAGTAAGAACGGACGGCGTACTCTCATAGAGGACGGAGGGAGTGTGGAGCAACAGCAGAAGCAGAAGCAGGAGCAGCAGCAGCAGCAGCAGCAGCAGCAGTAGCAGCAGCAGCGACCGTTCCAGCAGCAGCAGTCGCATCAGTTCTAGGCGTGCCCCCCCTAGCAGCTTCAACAGCATCAGTGGGGCTATGTCTGCTCCGGGAGCAGGGGCCCTGCAAATGCGCAGGGCCGAGATGGGTGGGGAAGATCAGGGAAGCCGGACGGGGGCGGCGAAGCCGCAGCAGCTGCGGGGCCGACGAGCAGGGGGGCGACGGGGCGACGAGGCAGGGGGGCGACGAAAGGGGACGCGGGGACCAACGCGAAGCTCTCTGCGCTGGGCGTTGTGACCGTCGCGACGAGCGCCGCAACAGGGGCCGCGACGTAGGTCGCGACGTGCGCACTAGCCAAGTTGAAAAAATGGTCACATGTTAGGTACGAAGCATCCGTATCATGCCGAAGTTAGGTCTAGGGCTTGAACTTAGGAGACCAGTGGGAGGCAATATTGCGAGAAGTACAAGTAAATGGAATCATGCAAAACAAGAAGGTGCACCACCATTACATAATATTAACTAGACTACAACTACACTACAAGCAGTTACATAGAAGACGTAGATATATATTTTGAGAATATGACCAATGCCAACTCGATGCGATACACACATACAATTTATGTTCCAGGCACCTGGTTTGACATCATTTTTCCTACATGACCAAGTCGATTTGACATATAATTGCTGATATAATATAACTCACTCTCAAATGTTTGTGATTGACCAATGATTTTATTAGCTATAGTTTGAGGCATGTTTGTTTAAAACTTGCATGGTGTACAAGATTTGTTTCACTCACTTGTTTACGACCATCCTTTATTAGCACTCTCTACCTCTGATTTCAGTCTTGATAAATCTCGATTATCTACATCGCCATGATCCGAGTCGCAGTGAGTGTCACCTTTCCTAAAGTTACACATGCATGGATTGTAAGGGTGGTCTTCATCGGCGACAATCGGGAACTGTACCAATGCTTTTGCGAAAACATCACGAAGAAACACGATCGTCGTATTATCACACCTGACCTCAGCGCGAAGTGTTTGGCGAACTGTGCTGCTGGTGCGGCGAATGGTCAACAGCATTCTGGCACGAGTTCGCGCCGCCATTGGAATGGTCCTGGACATGGCGGAAAAGGAAGGGCTCCGCGCCGCAAGGCCATCAAAGACCAATTTTACCGCGAAACCCTAAACAACCGTTCTGAAATACTTGTGAACGCAAACCACCTCACTGAACTCCCCACAACACTAAAATTTGTGAATTGAGAGAGAGCTCTCCCAACAAGGCGTTTCAGCTCTTAGTCAGAGGAATCGAGTCTTTAGTATTTCTAGTAGCACGTGCGCTCAATAGGTATCTATATTTCAAGTTGAACTAGGTGGCCAGTTCTAGAGCAGTCATCGTCTCGCCAGCTGCTATTCCAACTATCGCTCCGCAATTTCTCTCAGATTTTCACTCCTAATCCCAGCGCGCGTCGAAATCGCCATCGATGGTCTAGCCGCGAGACTCACGAGAATGCCCCCCCTGGTGCTCCTCCTCTTGGTGACGTCATCGCTGTGCTTGACGGCCCCCCGTTTCCTCGTGGAGGCCTCCTCTAATTCCACATCGCCCGATCCCACGAAGCCGGTTTCGCAATGCGACCTGAATGCTGGGAGGTGAGTCGATCGGCCGTCCCTTTCTCAAAAGTTTGTGCCTGGGTGTGTAATCTGTTACCCGGGTTTACATCCGTCAAAGCGATGTCTTATGCCTCTCGTTCTCCCTCCCGCTCATCTTTCCCCGTTTCCCACAAATAGTTGGGTGAGTAACCCGTGGACCAAGCCGCGTTACACGGGCTACAGCTGCCAGAGCATTCGGTCGGAGTTCAACTGCCAGCGGAATGGCCGCCAGGACACAAACTACCTCAATTACGAGTGGCGCAGTCCCGGCTGCAACATTAAGAGGTACAGTCTGAACGCACCTAAACTACGAGAGGCGCAGCCCGGATGGAACACCTCTAATAACTACTAGTAGTTGGGGAAATAGTTCGAGCCTCTCTCTGCTAGCATCTATATCTGCCTCTCTCTGCCTCTATCTCTGCCCTTCTCTCTGCATATCTGCCTCTATCATTTACCTCTTTTCCTCTCCATTTTATTCCTCTTTGCAAATCTGTGATTCTGTGATTCTGGTTTTCATTGTTCTGTACATGTATTGGCATGCTGCTATTGTCACACTGAACCTCCTTACCCCATACCACATGCCATAGTCAGATGACCACCTGGGGTTCTTAAGACTGGACCGCATTTATCATCCACGCACACATATCGTTCTACACAAAGAATATTAACTTGTATATATCAATATGCACATACAAATATGCATTTTCCCATATTGGGTACATTATCCCTCTTCCCCCAGGTTCGACACCGCCGCTTTTCTCAACATCGTTAGGGACAAAGTATTCCTGTTGTCCGGAGATTCCTTAGCCACCAACATGTACCACGCACTGCGCTGCCTCATCGAGACCACCACGCCAGTCAAGGTAATTCGACCACTGGTCCATCTTATCAAATCTATGATTTCACTCCCTACGCCACCAACCTCATTGGGACAATGCCTTATCATTGCGACCAGAATCGTGCCATCACCTTATGAGAATATCAGAAATGTTATTACATGAGTCGAGGTTAGTGATTCAGTATCACTGGTCACAGAACCTACCCTACCCTCCCTGCCCGCAGAGCACGCACAGGCATCCAAATTCACCGTACTGTGAACAATCCGCTAGTGCGACTTATGGGTTGTTGTAACTCCCCTCCTCCTGGCACCCCACCAGGACTACAGCACGAGCTCGGCCTTTGGAACGGGAACCCCGGCGTCCGGATTCACTGTACCGTCGCACAACTTCCTCTTCCTCCGCCAGCCCAGCAACTTCCTCGTCGCATCCGAGCCTCAGGTACGCTCGCTTCGCACACGCCGAACCTCCTGTAGGTTCGGTTTCCCCGTCATCCTCTTCACTTCTTACTTTCTGATCTTCTCTCTTCCCGTCTCCCTCTTCTCTCCTCCCGATTACTCCCGTTCCCTCTTCTCTCTTTTCGTTCCCCCGTCTCTCTCCCCGTTCAACCAGGGGCGTGTGGACGGTAGATGTCATTCCCTCTCCCCTCACCTCCTCTCCGCGCATTCCTTCTCTCCTATGTCTGCTGCCAGGGCTCGGCGTCCAGCACGGGCACGTGGACGGTGCATCTGGGGCAGGCGGATCCCAAGTGGGCGAAGCTGCTCCCCCATGTTCATTACCTCATCTTCAAAATTGCGTGGTCCCCAATCTGTCCCAAATACATTCTGTCCCAGAACCGTCAAAAAGCTGTCCCGAAACTGTCTTGAAAGACACTTCCGAGACATTTTCGTCTATTGGCGCTTTTACTCTACATTTCAACGTGTCCCAAAAGTGACTTGTGCTGGAATCTGCCCCGGCCAACAAGCGAATGTGACCTGGAATCCTTGAACTTCAACGCGATCAGAAGACAAGTTCGATACTTGTCGATGTCACTTCCATTCCGTTGGGTATAATATTTTGTAAAACCATCATTTACATTGCAAATCATTTTTTTTGAGATTAAAAGGGTGCGCAGGCGATCGAACCCCAGACCTCACGTTCCGAAGGCTCGTCGCGAGAACTGTGCCGAAACTTCTGTTGAACTTCAACTACCAAATTATTTTTTACTTATACGTGCCGAACTGACCTGGAGCTCGTACCAACTTCGCTAGGCGATTCCTTGAACACAAACGCATCCTGATCCGAATTTTACTGTACCTTCGCGCCACCTGTCATGCAAACCAACGTGGCAACTGCCAACTGCATCAAAATCGCCACGTGCACCTGAAAATAGTCGCGTCACTTCCAAACATCCACCACACAACCGAAATACTCAACAACCTGCACCAACCACTTCAATGTGGAAACCCCATCACGTTCACCACTAACGTGAGTACCCCATTGCTTGACTACGATATGGTGAGTGCAAGAACGGACGCTATAAAACAGTTAATCGTAACTATGACATTGTGATCACACTAGCATGAGTGCACTAGCGCTGCTACAGCATAGTGTGTCAACAGCAATCAACACTCAAGACTACCGCAATCACTCCGGAACACGAGCCCCTTCATCAATCACTCCGCATGAACCCCTTCAGCCCTGTCCCATCTCCCTGTCTTCTCTCCCCCTCCTGCTGTTTCTGCTACCCCCCCCCCCCCCCCCCCATCCCAGTCCCCTCCCAGCACTCGGGACTACCGCAGTTACCAAGGGGAACCGATCGTCATCAACGCATTCAGGGCCATACGCGCTGCGATCCGGACCATCCGTAAGACGGTCCAATCCAGCGGCTTCCATGGCATGCCCATGTTCCTCTCCTTCACAGCAACACACTATCAGAAGTACTTCTTCCCGGGCGATTCCAAGAGTAATTGCATTGGTGCTGACAAGCCCGTGGGAGACGATGTGGTGGCGTATGCGGAGAAGAAAAGCTTCTCTATGAAGCTCCGGGATCAGCTGCGCTGGGTAAGACGATGGCTGATGGTATCACCACTTTTTTGTTTTCTGACCGATTTTGCTCTTCTCCATTCCTGTGCAAGCCTCTTTCATGTTTGGCAAGCTGTGAAAATCCTGTTTTTTATTTGTGCAGCTCCTTACCTTGCCCCTCCTTTTCTTGCTTTACGTGGTATGCATCAGGTGTTGCGGAATTCAAGGTTCAAAATCATAGACATTACAAGGGCTACACTGTACCGTCCAGATGCGCACTTGCAGCTGTACGGGGGGGGAGGAACGGATTGCTCCCATTGGTGCGTTCCGGGCGTGCCTGACTCGTGGGCCGACATTGTGTTCTCCTACGTGTCCGGCTCAATCGCATGAAGGATGCAGCATGTTTGGAAACTCAACTAGAGAAGTCATACCTCATGATTTTTGTTGAGTAGATGATTAGTTACCTTAGCATATTGGCCACATTCTTTAGGGAGTATTAGGGAAAATGTTTAGACCAACTTGCAGCAGCAGCAGCAGCTGCAGCAGTAGCAGTACCTTGCCAGAAATGTGCCATTCCCTCTTGTGCATTGTTATTTTCTAGCTCACATTGTGAACCTCCACTGCCTTGTGCATTACTGGCTCTGTGTCAAGTGCTTCGGTTCTCATCTCGACCAGTAACAATCTCTGTTGGCCTCAAGAAGGATGGGTCGGGATGGCATGTCATAGTATGAAGCATCTCTGTACACACGAATAATTTCCTGCACCTTCACACGAGCTGCTTCCCTCCACATGAGCTCATTTCCCGCCCCCTGTCTCCATTGCCTTCACTCAGCGTTCCCCACATGCCAGGTGGAAAACATAGGCACTTCCTGTTTCACATGGGAGCATTGTATTGCTAGACATCTGGGCAGATAGTATACCTACATTCCAACCTTCTCTAGTCGACTCAAACGTCGGCTCACATCTGGGCAGGTGGCATCACGGTTCATTCTCCTGCCCCTTGGGCCTGCATGTGAGGTCCAGGTGTGTGTGGTTTACCGGTGTCAAGAGCCTAGTGAGCTCCTCGTGATGCTTCGTACTCGTTTTGTTGGACCCCCAAATGCTGTGTCCTTCTCTCGCTCTATCCCCGACCACACACTTCAATGTCCATGTGGCCTTGCTCTTGCCTATGCCCTTGCCTGCGCCATTGCTTGCCACCCTGTTGTCAGAATCAACTGTGCAGGAATGGTTGGATTAGCAAGAGTTGGGGTACAAGTACTAACCCTAGAAGTGCTGTACCCCATAAAGAGTGCCCCACTATAGCCTACAAGCAAGATCGTACTTTGACACACCCCCATAGGCTAAGTGGGGGACAACAAGACGGTCACAAGACCAGTCAAGCAAGACAACAGAGAAAATCAAAGCAAAGCTCAGGGTGGATCTCAAGGACACCACACAATCCGAGCACATGCAAGTGGCCACAAGGCCAGTTCACATGCAGAGTTATAATAACAAGGCAGTGCACTGATCACAACCTAGCAAGAGTAAACATGCAGGCATAAAGATATATATCAGTGTACAACAAGAGCAAGTCAAGCAACCAGCAGGTGAGGCAGAGTGGCCACAAGCCCAAGAGCAGTGCAGAAACGCTTATGATCACCAGACCCAAGGGCCTTGGTGAAGACATCAGCAGTGTTGGCCCGAGAGGCCACGTAAGAAAGGCGAAGCTGACCACGCTGCTGCAGCTCACGCGCAAGGAAGTAGCGAAGAGCAATTTGCTTCGTTCGGTGCTCCATTCTCTGCTCGCAACACAAGGCAAGCATTGCCTTGTTGTTGACGTACAGAACTGGAGGAGAACGAGGCCGCTCCCCCAAGTCGGTCAGCAGGTAGGTCAGCCAGCGTAGCTCCTGTGCAGCCATGGCCCCAGCGTAGATCTCGGCCTCACAGCTGGAACCAAGCACAGAAGAAGAACGAGTGGACCTCCACGAGACAGAACCAGAGCCAAGACTGAAGGTGTAACCCTGTGACGAACGCTGAGTTGCCTGGTCGTCAGCCCAAGAAGCGTCAGAGTGTCTTGTGAGTACCACTGAACCCCGTCCTCCAAGCACGAGCCCCATGCCCGATGTACTGCACAAGTAATGCAGTACCCTCTTCGCAGCATCAAAGTGCACCTTTCGGTGTCTACCGGGTGCCACGTAGCGAGCCAGGAGGCTGAGAGGGTACGCGAGGTCAGGTCGTGTGCACATCATCAGGTACATGAGGCAACCCACAAGCTCTGGGTACGGACCACTCGGCTCTACGGACTCGTCCGAAGGTGGAGCTGAGAGCGAGTGACCGGTAGACAGAGGAGTGGGCTGTGGCGAGGAGTACTGGAAGCCGAAGCGCTGAAGGACCTGGTGCACCATGTGTGACTGAGTCAGGGTGATGGTTCGCCGTGCTCTGTCCCGGGTGATCTGCAAGCCAAGGTAGCTCCGCAGCTCACCCAGGTCAGTGCAGGTGTGTCTCTCCTACAGCTCCGCCTTCACTAGGGCCAGTGCCTCAGTGTCAGCAGTAGCAAAAACCAAGTCGTCGACGTACACGAGGATGTAGAACGGCGGCAGAGAAGTGTCTGTGCGCAGAAACAGTGAGGGGTCAGCAGTCGAGGGAGCGAAACCAAGAGTCGCAGGTGTAGTCCTCAGTGTGTCGTGCCACTCACGGGGCGCCTGACGCAGGCCGTACACTGGTCGCCGAAGGCTCCACTGGGTACCCTCAGGAAACGACCCAGTGAAGCCCCGTGGACGGCGCAACCAGATTGCCTCGTGAAGGTTACCCTGCAAGAAAGCGGTCGAGAAGTCGAGGGAGTGCAGCTCGTAGTCGCGCTGTGCTGCAACGTGTAGCAACACCCAAAGAGAGGTCATCTTCGGGGTGGGCGAGCAGGTCTGAAAGAAGTCGACCCCCTCACGCTGACTGAAGCCTCAAGCAACATAACGTGCCTTGAAGGCAGGAGGAGAACCCGGCGGCCGCTTCACCCTGAAAATCCACAAGCCACTGATGATGTTCGCCCCAGGTGGGGGAACCTCGTCGACGTAGGTGCGTGTGGACTTCCAGGAAGCCATCTCTGCGTCCATGGCTGTCTGCCACTGAGAGGAGTACTCACCCGAGATCGCCTCTCTGTAAGAGCGCGGGGTGGGGATGTCAAGTGCATCCGGGTCTCCCTCAGGGCAAGCAGCATGGTAGCGAGATGAGGTGCAGCGGCCGCAGGGCACTCCAGCTCCTCCTGTCTGTCCTCAAGAACGTGACAGCCAAGGGCAACCTCACCCCCGACGGACGCAGGACAGGCAGGGTCAGGGTCAGAAACAAGACTCGCAAGGTAGCCTCGGCGGTACACATCAGCAAAGTCGACTAACTCAGCGACTAAGGCAGACGCAGCAGGAGACGAGAACGTAGGGTCCGTCACAACTGTAGCAAGAAAGCGAGTGAAAATCGGACTGGAAGCACGAGCAAGGTCAGACGGAGGGTCAGCAACGTCAGGAAGAGAAGACGCAGAAGGTGACGGTAGGACAACACGCTGTGGAACGGAGGAAGGACGGAGTGTTATATCGTGAGTGCCTGGGACAGCTGGAGCACGAGGACGACGCACACGACGAACACGAGCAGGAACGAAAGCTCTAGTCTCAGGCTCTTGACGCTCAAGAGTGGAAGCACGAGTCTCAGGCTCTCGACGCTCAGTCAGGGACTCTGTCACAGCAGTGTAAGGAGCAGGAGTAGGCAGTGGGGAGTGAGGGAGTAGCTGTGGCTGAGACAGGTCTCTAGTACCTCCAGCACCAGTAGAACCTCCAGCAGTACCTCCAGCACCAGCAGCACCTCCAGCACCCCCAGCAGTACCTACAGGACAAGCAGCTCCAGCCCCAGCAGGACCGAACCCTCCACCACCAGGACTACCTCGCCGAACGATCCACGCACGAATCTGCTGCGGCGAGAGCGTCTCAAGTAGATCAGGCTGCGGTGGCTGTCCAGCTCCAGGACCTCCTGCAGGGTCACCCATAGCTCCACCGCCACTAGGACTCGCTGCACCCCAAGAGTCAGCACCCCCAGAACCAGCACCCCCAGTCGCAGCACCTCCAGAACCAGCACCCCCAGTCGCAGCACCCCCAGAACCCTCACCCTCTGTCTCAGCACCCCCAGGCTCAGCACCAGCTGTCTCAGCTCCAGAGTCCACAGCAGAAGGTTGCGGAGGCGGCGAAGACGGCCGAGGCGGAAAACCAGGGGGGGTCTCCAAGCGTGGAGAGCGGCGAGTGGCCGCCGTGTCGTCAGCGGTGGGGTCACCCCCCTCAGCTGGGCCAGAGGAGTCAGAAGAGACCTCCAAAGGCTCAACTAAGGGGGGTGGGTCTACCTGAGACACACCTGAGGGAGCAAGACCCTGTGGGGGGGAGGGGGTCTACCGGGGGGGGGGGACTGGTACCAGGAAGAGAGGCGCTAGGGGGGCCGGGTGGGACGCGTGCGGGTGTAGTCTGTAGAAACAGACAGACTCGTCAAAGGTGACGTCATGGGAGGAGAAGACTCGACGCTCGCGCGGGTGGTAGAACTGCCACGGCGGGGCGTCGGTGGGGAAGCCAAGGAAGACGCAGCGGAGAGTGCGAGAGGAGAGCTTGCTCGCTTTGGCATCGCGAACAAGGGAGAGCGCGCCCCAGACCCGAAACACTGACGCATCGCCAACCTTCCCCGTCCACCGGATTGTGGGCGAGGTCTCTGGCTCAAAGACACGGGGCCAGAGGTTGAGCTGATGCGCAGCGTATTGGACCGCAAACGGTCACAGAAAATGGGGAGCAGCCGCATGGATCATGGAGGTACGAGCAACCTCCATGATCAAGCCAATGCGACGCTCAGCAATCCCATTTTGCTGAGGAGAGGCCGGAAGCGTGAACGTCTGGCGGATGCCCTCGTCTCGACAGAACTCCTCAAGGAGGCCAGAAGAGAACTCACCGCCCCTGTCAGAGTGCAGACGCAGGACTCCGCCAAGTCCCGCCGAAACCTCTCGCGCAACTGGTGACGAGTAGCACGGATCCAGGGGATCAAAACAC